ATCGTCTCACCAACCTTCTATACATCGTCTCGGAGAACATTCTCCGGCCATCTTAAAGCAAATTTTTTTTTTCTTTTATTGTGGAAGTTCATTAATAGATCTATAGATCTATGAGTTGCTTTGATTTGTTTGTAATTTCTGCTCAATTTTTCTTTTGGTATTTGAAAGAAACTTTGAAATTTTTGCCCATGAGAATTTTGATGCGATCCAAATTCCTGGTGAGTTCAAGCTTTTTTTGAAGGATTTTTATAGTTAATTTGATGTTTATGATGATTTGATTACAATTTTTTTTATCTTTATTTTTAGTTTCTCTTAGTTTTTTATTTTAGTTTATCTCCAATTTTTTTAATCTTTATTTTTAGTTTATCTTCAGTTTTTTTTTTAGTTTATCTTCAGTTTTTTTTATCTTTATTTTTAGTTTATCTTCAGTTTTTTTTAGTTTATCTTCAGTTTTTTTTTTATCTTTATTTTAAATTTATCTTCAATTTAAAACTAAAATTAGTTTTAAATAAAAATATTTGAGAGCTGTAATAAACACAAGATAAACCTAAAACCATAAACAAGAAATTTATGAGGATTTGATTACGGTGTTTTTATCTTTATTTTTTGTTTATCTCCAGCTTTTTTTTAATTCAATTTTTTTATTTAATAAAAATATTTTAGTTGTAGTAAACACAAGATAAACCTAAAATTATAAACAAAACGTTTATAAAATAAAACGTAAGCAGAATAAAATAGTGAATAAAAAGTTTACAATTAATTTTAAATACATATTCAAAAGTTGTAATAAACTCAAGATAAACTTAAAACTATATATACATTTATACGAGAGAATGCTGACTGATTTAGTGTTAAAAAAACATTGAAGGATACAACTGGCATTCATTTTAAAGAGTCGTCTTTTTGGAAATGAGTTTTTCGAGAAGATCAAATGTGTACTTTAGCCTGAATAATTTAGGGAGCAACCATTATTTATTTACAAGGAGAAGGAAATTAGACCATCATTATCCTCAACCTAACTCAACCCAACCTAATAATTAAAAATTATTTCTCTTTTCTCCAACTATACAACCCAACCTGACAACCAAATTTATTTTTATTCCCAACCCAACTCAAACTAAATATTTATTTTATTTTAATTTATCTAAAAAATTAAATTGTGTTCCAAAAAATATCAAGTGTGGTATCTATTTGTAGAGAATAAAAAATATATATTTTAGTATTTATTTTTTATTTTTTTTAGAAGAAAAAAATTATATTTGGCCAACCAAAGAGGGACAAGTGTCCCATTTCATTACCCAACCGGTTGCAACCTTGGGTCACAATGTGGCCTAGGTTGGCATCCATGACCTTTTCTTTTTCTTCTTTTGATTTTTTTTATTGTTTTAAATTGGTGACCCTTTCAATAGGGTCACCGATAAATGTAGCCTTAGTTGAGGGCCACATTCACGCGTCAGACCAAGGAGAATTATTTAGCAAGGGAGAGCCGCCACACAGGCCATAGGCGGAGAAAATAGAGCAAAAAGAGACACACGTACGCGGGGAAGCCGATCAATTGCGGAGGGAGGCCGCACCTGCACACGAAAGAAGATAATTCTATTCTCTTTCTTTTCTTTTCTTTTTATTTTATTTATTATGTTAGAGTAGATTTTCTTTCTAGTTTCGGGGAAGTTGAACCCTATGACTCGATTAATTCTGTTGGTTGATAATTTTAATATCTTTTAGGATTGTTTGTGTTATTTTGAATAAGTAACCATGATGTGTTGAGTCTTATTTGGATTGATCACTTAGATTAGGCTTTTCATATCTACAGCCGAATTAGACTTTTAATCCGTAATTGTTAAAGTGTTTAATTCATAAGAGGCTACCGGAGATGGTAACTACCGAGGATAACACGGCCTATTTAAGTGAACGAGCGCGTCACTACTTAGTCTAGCCTATATTTCTAATTCGTAAAGCGGCTAATTGTATTAAATCTTGAAAAAGTTTTCTAGACTGTACAAGAAGTCAGGTCTAATCGTAGAACGTCTCGCGGTTAGATTAAAAATAAGGAAAATTTGGGTAACAGAGCGTGTCGTTACCTAGGGCTAGTAATTTCATAAGATAGCGAGATTTGATATCAAAGCTGATTAGACGAGTCAGTCGAGGGTGTAGACAGAACCGTGAACTAGAAACTTCTCTTAATTTATTTATTTTTATTTTATTTTATTTATTTAATTAGGATCTTAGTTAATCCAATCCCCCCCCCCCCTTTTATCGTTTTATTTTATAAATTCAACTAATACGAGAAAATTCACAATTTAATTCACACTCCTTGTGGGTTTGACCCTTGCTCACCACTACTACTAGTTAGTAGAGGTTAGACAACCAAATGAAAAACATCCAGAAAAACAAAATAAAAGAAAATACACAAGTTGTTGTTTTCACTTGTGTTCTCAACCTAGTTGTACACACGTTTGACTATTAATAATTTGTACTCCCTCCTATTTTTATTATTTGTCGTTTTGAGAAACAACACACTAATTAATAATTTTTTTCTTGCCAATATTAAACCTATTTAATGGATTTTATGAGAAATTATGGAGATGAGATATGAAGAGACACTGTGCATTTATGGAGGGTTAAAAATAGAAAAATATGAACAAAATAACCAAAACAACATTTATTTAATTAATGATTAATTAAGCCAAAGTGACAAATTCAATTAGGATTTTTAAGGACTTTTTAAGACTTTAGAAATCTCAATGTATTCAATTTAGATTTTTTAAAACTTTTAAAAATTCAGCTTTCTTAAGACTTTAAAACTTTTAAAAATCTTGGGGTATTTAATTAGGATTTTTAAAAGTATTACAAAATCATGAGGTATTTAATTTATTTGACACTAGGATTCATTAAGACTTTTTAAGATTTGGTGGGATTTTTAAACAAAAAACCTTATATGAAATCTCACCCCAAATCCTACCTCCAGACTTAGGGATGTAAATGGGTCGGTCGGGCACGGTTTTTGACAAACCCGAACCCGTCCCGCATGTAATTTATCCTACCCAAACCGTACCCGTTACCTGGTTAGTGATCTTCGGGTTCAGGTTGGGTTTTACCCCGCGGGTTAGTGGGTTTTTGTCGGGTAAACGGGTAACCTGGGTTCTTAAATTTGGGCTTTACCCGATCCATCTCGTTTCATATTAAAAAATAAAATAAAATAATTTGACAATTAATTATAACGTAACACACAATTTATTAACTAAGTTCGACAATGAAAAACTACAAAAAAAAAATATATTATTTTTGGAATAAATAATGAGATGTAATTGTTTATCTTGCATAGTCAATTTAATAATATTATATTTAAAAATTAAGTATTAAAACTTTTTATTGTACAATTAACAAAAATTGATTATAAAAAACATAAGAAATAAAATAAAATTTAACCATTAATCAAACTTATAATAAATAATATAATTTTTAATATTATAACACATGACTACTTTTATATTTATAATAGTT